GAAAGGCAAGCCTCTAGTACGTTTGCAGGATAATTTTTTGTTTTTTAGGGTCTAAGAGAAGCTGAGCATTTTAGAAGGCAGAGAAAGGTTAATGATAGTGGCTAATGATTTCTAGGGCTTATTATATGCCAAGTGTCATGTTATATACTTTATACCCAGAATCACATTTAATCCTTCAAGATGAAGCTATTTCTTCTCTGATTTTTATGATGAAACCAAGGATGCTTTGAGTTGAAGTTATTTGCCCAATGTCTCCAGGCTAGTGAATGGCAGAGCTAGCATTTGAATTTTGATTCTCTGAATATAACCAGTATGCCCAAAGGTAAGAGGGAAACCAAAGTTGCAAAAGTTGAAGGGATTGTTTTGTAGACTAGAATCTGAGAGGAAAGAGCTCCTTGAATGTGATGAGTTGTAGCCTGAGTTTAGAAATTCCATATAGAGAAGGCACCAGGTCTAGCCTGTACTATTCAGTGTGTTGTGTTCATGTTATGTCACTGATATGATCAAGACAGGAGTAGTTTGTGTTTGGTATGTTTGATGACAGAATGGCCCAGCTTTCTGAACCTTACCCCTTTTGTCGTCTAGTAATTCAAACTCCTGAAGTGTCTAGGAATCAGTTCATGCTCTGGACGTTTCTGTGCTGTCTAATGCTAGAACATTCCAGGAATAGAATGTACTTTTTCCTCATTGTATCAGATAATACAAATGAAGGTTCATGGAAAAGTTGGGGGGCTAAGAACAAGGGAATGCAGTTGTTGTATGGTAGTACCTAGTACACCTCAGTCCATTTCTACATGATAGGCAGCTATCAGCCAACCATCTGCTCAGTTTATTCATTCATCTGACATTCATTTTGTAGGCCTGTTCTGAGCATTAATGATACTTTAAACATAAAGACTAACATCTCCGGAGGAGAGGTAGTCATTAAAGAGCAGGCAGAGTCATAGAAAGATTTAAAATTCTTAAGAAGCATTTGAAATGTTTGTTGGCTGGGGAATAAGAGCAATGAGAGCGCAATGAAGAGAGAAATAGAGACATTACATAACTCAAGAGAGATAAAAGATTATACTTCAGATATCAAGACAGATGATGTCTAGCTCTTAATAGGTAGAAAGAAGGAAACCTGCATGAGTTCACAGTGAGCAGCTGCCATCTCCTCTGTAAGGAAGGAAGGTAGGTAGGTCCCCTGCAGAGCATGCTGGTCTGCAAGTTAGATATGCAGCAGGAGGAGCACCTTGGAAGTGTAGAACGCTCCCTGGCAGGTGGCTAGGAGCCACAGAGGAGATAGGTGTGCACTGTGGTAGGCCTGACTGTGATGGCAACTGTGAACTTGTAACAAGGCCAGTTGATGTAGTTATTTGACTTGTTTCTTACCAGCAGTTAAATCTTAAATACCTGTTAAGCCCTGGAGAAGCCTCTCTTCTGATTCTCTTATTCTTCTAAGCCCGTGGCCTGAGCTTTCATATCCCAGCTGTGAAATTTCTTGTCTTCTGTACGGTATACAAGACACAGGCACGGGTCCTGCTGCAGCCTGCTAGTGAGAGCATGTCAGCTTCCCCATGCACATCCTCAGGGTGAGTCACCTGCCCTGAAGGAGAAGGCCTCACGGTGTCCAACCCTTGCAGAATACTTGCTCCTCTATTTATAGTGATTTGGTTCAGGGTAACAGGTTTTCCCTAGTTCATGGCTATGCTCTCAGTGAGGGTTCTTGCTTGAAAGTAACAAAAATAGCTATAACTTAACAGATAAGGAATTTATCAGGGAGATGTTAGGAGCTCATAGATTCCCCTAAAGAATTCTACAAATAAATGAGTCGAGGCAGCCAGCAGACAGGGCAGAAGCAGTTCTTCACAGACAGCCATGAAAAAAAGTGTGGTTACCGCCCTGGACACAGGGCTGCCATTGGCACCATGGACACCCACTGACAGCAGTAGTCATCAAAAAATCCTGCCACAAGCTCTGCCTCTTCAGTCTCTGGAATTGGCATTTGCCCTCTCATCCACCCCAGAATGATTCTGTTTGGCCCGGCTCCTTAGTGTCTCTAGCTTCCCATTCAGAGTCTGGAATGGGTGGTCTGATTGGCAAAGTATAGCTCTTCTGCTGGTAGTTGAACGTCACAAGGCACCAGGAAAAGGAGTGTGTACATTTTTATCTGTTATAATAGATATAGTAGGAGCTGAAATGTTGAGTGGTCATTTATTCTGGTATTTCATGTAATAGATGGCTATTACAGTGCCATGAAATACAAGAATAAATGTTCCAGTCTTTCTGTTGAGAGGAAGTCTTAGATCACTGGATGCTGAGTTTCTCTGTAATTCTCTGTAACAATAGAATAAATTCTTTGATTCTTCAGTATTTTGCAGGTTGCCTAGAAAATAGTGGAACCTCAGGAAATGTTTGTAGAATGAATTAATTAAATGTTGTGGGTTTTTTTTTTTAGTACAATAGCCACCCCCCACCACATACATTATCTACAGGGAACACATTTCAAGATCCTCCCCCCTAGCCCCGTGAATACCTGAAATCATAGGTAGTACCAAACTCTATATATGCAATGTTTTTTTCCTATACATAGGTACAAAAATTTAACGTTTTTTTCCATCTTAACTAAGCATGGCTTACACACTGTGGCTGTAACTTTTGCAGTTTGAGGTGTGACATCAAGCTAACATGAATTTCTTTTTCCTTGTTCACAATTTCACAGAAAATTCATTCTTACTGTAGATCTTAGCAACCTCGATCACATGACTTTTTTCCTTATGAATTCAAGAACTCTCACCTTTTCACTTCAAAGTAGTGCTTTATGCTTCTCTTTGGCATAGTCAAATCACCAACATCAAGATTCTTGTGCTTCGAGGCCATTGTTAAGAAAAATGAGGGTTACTTGAACATGGCTTTGTGATACTGCGATAGTCCATTTTATAAACAAGATGACTACTTAGTGATAAATGGGTAGGTAGTGTATACAGTGTAATTACTCTGCATAAAGGAATGATTCACATCTTGGGCAGGATGAAGCAGAATGAGATTTCATTGCATAAAACCAGAGCAGTGTACACATTATTTTAAATAATTTTTTAAAATCAGCTTATTTCTGGAATTTTTCATTTAATATTTTTAAACCTCAGTTGACAGTGACTCACTGACATGACAGCAAGCCAAGACCATGTATATTCTCTCAACAATCATGTATTAAGCATATAATTTGTGTCAAGCACTATGTTGAACACTGTTTGCAGGATCAAAGTGTTTTTACTCAATGGTAAACAAAGGAGTAATCAGAAACCATACAAGAATCAAAATATGAGGATTCGGATCTTGAGTGAAAAAATGCCTCTTAGATAAGAAGAGGAATGAATCTGATCAACGTCCCAAGTTGAGGCTGTGAATATGGCACCAGAAGGGTAGAAAGAGCTGAAAATCTCCCCAGGACAAATTGAAGGGATGGTGGTGAGCAAGGAAGTCAAGAGGATGTGAGTACCTGCTGGGAGCGGAGTGGCACTTCAAGTGCTCCGCACCCCCTCCTGACTCCAGGATTTTTAGGCCAGTTGCTTGCTCACTTTAAGGGAAGTCACAGCTTTCACTGACCCTCCTGTAAGTTACTTTAGTGTAAGCTCTAAGTGTTACAAGCAATAAATGTGCCATGTAACAGATTATTAAATAAAACAATTTTCTATTTAGGATATTTCTGCAAAACATGTCTGGATTCAAATTTAGCCCAAGGCCAGGTATATTTTTTTCATCTTTTTTCATATGGCATCATCTATGTCACATTTGTTAGGTGAATTCCATGCTCTCTTTATTGTCCCTGGCTGCAGCAGCTCAACCCCACCTTCACAGAAGGTAGATCCTAAGGAGGCCTGGCTGCTGGACCTGTGGATTGTCTTGACCTTGACCCAGCAGTTCCACCCTAACTTGTGACTGCTGAAATAGTAAACACACACACACACACACACACACACACACACACACATTTTTTTCAGTGAAAGATTGGTCTGGTTTATTTCCTGTCATTATTGGAAATGGTTATTATAGTTCACGTGCTTTATGTCACCTAAATCATGACATTGAGAGTCTAAAAAGGATTCTAGTGAGGTTTTCTCTGTTTAGTAGATGAAAAAAAAATGAGGCACAGGGTTTTTAAAAGTGTCCTGTCATGGTCATAGAGGTGATAAGTAATGAAACTGGAGTTTGAACCTAAGCATTTTGGTTCAGATCTTGTATTCTTAACCTTTATATGTACGCATTTTCATTTCCTAAAGCAGGATAACTGCTTCATCATCAAATGTGATCTTTGAAAGGTCAAACAAGTCTCCACTTTTACATGCTTTCCTTTCATTAGTTTGGCAAAAGCCTCATCATCTGTAATTGAATATCAATAATTGCAGTATACTCTCATCTCTGGAGTCAGCCATGTGACGTGGACAGATATATTATCAATTAATTCCCTATTTTATCGATTCAGATGTTTATAACTTCATGAATAATTTAGTTCAAATTCTCTGAATTTTTTCAAAATTATCTGTGGTGTTCAGGCATTCAGGATGAAAGCTACACATTTAGTAATTAAACCATTTGAATGCCTAGTATGGAAATAAATTTTTAAAAATTTGAAATCTTTAACACTGAAAAATGACATCAAAGAATGGAATTAAAAAAAAAAAAAAACCCTCTTGTATACTCTTAGGAGCCAAAAAGTCCTTTTTGGCAAGAGACTTTTACTTACCTCAAAAGGCAAGAAATTCCAACAGGACAACCAAGGGCCCTCCAGAGTTTTGGGGAATGCAAAAGCATGCCCAGCATTCTTTGGAGACCCAACACCTTCAAATCCCCAATGGAGAGAGCAGCTTCATTGCTTCAGTTCCATTATGAGCAGATGAATCTGTTTATCAGGATGTAACTAGTTTGCTTTTGTATTATTTTATTTTTAAATGAAACATAATTGTTTTTTCTGCCTTTGGTAAAATAAAGGTCTAACAATTTTTTTTTTTTTTCGACAGAGAAAAAGACAAGCATATGAATCTAACCTCATCTGCCAGGGACTGCAACTAGAAGCAACAAGATCGGTAAGTGGTAGTCTCTTTGCCAGCCTCAGCTGACTGTGTTCTTGGGAATTTGCATGGCACTTGGAATTCAAGGATGGCAGTGGCAATGTGCAGTCCTGGCCAGGATGCTGTCATAGACGGGAAAAGGAGTTAGTCAAAATTGACATTCTATAGGAGATATTATTTTTTTCTCATGAAAGACAACAAGTTTTTTTAATAGCCAAGGAATTTAATAATGAACACTTGTACAACAGATTATTTCTTCCTTTAAGAAACTTCTAGAAGTTTTTTTAACTATAAAAATCATAGTTTATGGTAAAAAACGAGAATGTAAAAATAGGGAAAATAAAAATCATCTGAATCTTAATCACCCAGAAATATCCTTCTGAAAGTCCTTCTAAGAAACTTTTCTGTCTTCAGATATGTATATTTCCTCAGATGAAATATGCACATAAACATCAAGTAATTGAACCATTTGACTGTCTAGTATGGAAATTAAAATTTTAAAAATCTGGAGTCTTTAATGCTGGAAAATTACATCATAGAATGGAGCTTCAAAAGTCCCATTTGTGTACCCTTACCAGCCAAAAAGTGTGTTTGTGTGTGTGTGTGTGTGTGTGTGTGTGTGTGTTAGCCCTTTCAAAAGAGGAATTATTATTTCATGGTTTCATAATTTGCTTTTCCCTTAATATATAATAAAAGTGTTTCTATACCAATAAATATTATTCTTTGGCATTTTTAATGGCCAAATAACATAATGAATAGATATATAAGAAATTAAGCAGTCCATTTCTAGTTTTAGAAAATTAAAAATTTTTATTAGTTATAGCATTACAACGAGTGTTCTAGTGTTTCCAAGTCACTAATTTGGATGGAGTGATGGACGAATTGGTAAGGTTAGTTTTATCATTTAAAATGTTATTTTCATAAAAGAACTCTGATAATGATTTGAATTACTTTGTTAATTCAAACTAAGGAGTTATCTTAAAATTTTATATGGGTTTGCAAATCTATTTTTATTTTATCTTCGCTCATACTGGTATCCTCTGGGCATATTTTTTTGTTTTTGTTTTTTTTTTTAACTACCAGCCCATTAAAAAAAATGTTTGTTTTAAATTTTGAAAATAGTTGGTTTGATTTCCTGGTCCATGTTTTATTCTTCCCTTACAGGTTTTGGATGACAAGATTGTATTTGTTAAAGTACACGCACCATGGGATGTGTTATGTACATATGCTGAGATCATGCACATCAAATTGCCTCTGAAACCCAATGATCTGAAAACCCGTTCCTCGGCCTTTGATAGTTTCAACTGGTTTACCAAAGTCCTCCGAGTAGATGAACGTCTCATCAAGCCAGAGCAAGAGTTTTTCACTGCTCCATTTGAGAAGAACCGAATGAATGATTTTTACATTGTTGATAAAGATTCCTTCTTCAATCCAGCTACCAGAAGCCGGATTGTGAGTCTAAACCAAATTTAGTTTCTGTCTTGGGGTGATTTGGAACCTACTGTTGAGTAATTAATGATTTGGTTGGTGTGGTCTGATTTTTTTTTTTTTTTTTTTTAAAGCAGCAAAAAAAAAAAAAAAAAAAAAATTCCTTCACATTTCTGTTAAGTAGTAAACAGTGACTGGATTGGTTTGTTCTGCTCTATAAACCACATTATTTTGGAATCGTTTTAGGTCTACTTTATCCTCTCCCGAGTGAAGTATCAAGTGGTAAACAATGTTAGCAAGTTTGGGATTAACAGACTTGTAAGTTCTGGAATCTACAAGGCGGCTTTCCCTCTCCATGATGTAAGTCAAATAACAAAAATGAAGTTAAGAGACCTAATGTATACTCTTAGTGTTGACAAGAGAGAAGGACTGACCTTCCTAAACTTATGTCTCTTTCTTGGTAACATACTGAAGGCTGGAGTTGTAGCTCAGTGGTTGAGCACTTGCCTCACAAGTGTGAGGCACTGGGTTTGATCTTAGCACCACATTAAAAAAAAAAAAAAAAAGGCATTGAGTCCATATTACATCTAAAAAAAGATAACATACTGCAAGATTATAAACTTGCTTAACACAAGAAAGAACCAGACTGTTTTGTTCGCTAGTGGATCCCAGGCATAGAGAATATGCTGTGTTTAAAGGAGTAGATGGATGAATGAGCCGTTTCTTTCCTGCAGTTTACACACACTGCCAGACAGATGAGCAGTCACCCTATATGAGCATCTCTGTGGCCCAAAGTCCTATTCTGACACTTCCTAGCTCTGTGAACTTGTGAAAGACATTTAGCCTTTCTGTGCTTCGGTATCTTCATTAATAAAGTGAGAATAATAATATTCCTTACTTCATAGAATTGTTATGACGATTAATTAAATTAATCCATGCTTATGTTATTCCTTAGCATACAAGAAGTACTGTGTGCTAGCCATTTTCATAATGACTGACAGATATTTTTTATCAACCAGAAAAGTATGAGTTCTTTGTAACCAAATAGGTGTTAGAAATTCTCACTTATCATTTTCTGCAACACAGACTTCTTCCCTCTTGAAATACTATTTTTCAAATCATGCCCTGTAATATTCAGGCCTTTAAAAAAGCATCTATTAGGCATGTGTCACAATGGCAAAATTCCAGATTGGTGACATTTTTTAAGGATTACATGTGGAGACCACAGCAACCCCTTGAATTGAATTGCACTTCTCTATCTGGTAGCATCTCATATTAAGTGAAATTTTTAAAATGTGACTGATTTAATGATTCCATAAATGCAGGTACATGATGTCTGAAGTTGTTTACATAAATTCTGTCATTGAAATAAATACCACATTTCATTGCATTGTTACTTTGTTATATTTAGTTTAATCAGTTTATCAACCTATAAAACCAAAGAAAACAAGGACTGAGATTGATCAGTACTACTGTGTAGTATGTTTATGATGAATGAGGACAATACTGAAGTGCACAGTGTACTAAAACTACGACACCAAACAGCTACTCGATACACTTGACTAAACAGGGGAGCTGGGTGGAGAAGCAGATGCTGAGCTTCCTAAGAAATCCTATTTGGCCATTCAGGCTGACAGTCTGCATGTTTTATTTTTATGCTCCAGCAAAAATTAACAACTGTAGTGTGATATGAACTTTGGGGACACTTGTAAGTAGTTGTTCTGAAGATTAATTTGGAATGCCAGAGTTCTGGAGTGTTTGGTTGACGTTTGCCCGCACCCAGGTCTTTTCTACTAAAGTATCTTAGAATCACAGTAGTCCCACATCCTGTCAGGGAATGATCCTGTGTGGTGGTTGGGAGGGAAGTGAGTAGAGGTGAAGGCCAAGACTAGGCAGCGTGGTAATTGGGTTCTAGGATATGAAGAAGGAAAAAAGAGACGGGAGAAAGGGTGATTGAATGTAGGCAGAGGCAAGTTTTTTTTTTTAATAAGCTATATAAATAATATGATGTCAAGTTGCTTTGTTATTTATATTCTATATGTTGTGATAGAATAATTGCTGAATTGGGAAAAATGAAACCTGGGTTTTAGAATTGGCCCTGCTACAAGCTTGTCCTGGCCCTGGTTCCCCTATTTTCCAAGGAGACTAGGCTTACAGATGTTCCTCCGTTGTGGTGATTTTGTCACTTGGGTGGCCCAATTCTTCATTGTTCAGGGCTCCCCCATGAGTAGGCTGGTAAGCATCCTTGGGGCTCCCACTGAGTTCCTGCATTGCTTCCCAGAATCACAACATCTGAGCATTCATCTCTGTCTACATTCACAATTAGTCCTAAGAGAGAGAGTAGTAGCCCTGATTTAGAATCAGTAAAAAAGGTATTTCCATCCCTTCCAGCAAGCGAGGGCCCCTTTTTACAAATGGCTGTGAAGTATTAGTGCCACCTTTATAAGCACATTTGTGGAAACATGATGATTATGGTGCTCATTAGTCTCCTTTTGCTTCCCAGTGCCAATTCGGCAGTCGGTCAGAGGACCCCAGCTGCCCTAATGAAAGGTACCTTCTGTACAGGGAATGGGCTCATCCTCGAAGCATATACAAGAAGCAGCCTCTGGATCTTATCAGGTGAGTTGTTGTAGAGAACCCTGTAGTGGGAAGCATTCAGGGTTATCTTCATAACATGTAAGCATGATGATATTCAAGACATATTGCCAACCACGGAAGTTCACCCAGAGCGCTGAGCTTTGCACTTTTTAGGGTGTTTTACTGAGGCTTCATTTCCTAGGCATGATCAACTGACTCATCACCCAGGTGACTTAGTTTCTAGTCCTTCCTATTCCCGCAGGTATGGCCAGTATCACGTGGTTCATAGCCCTAACTCTAATCATGTGATTGGTCTCTCTAGCATGACCAGCCCTATTCTCATTCATCTCATTAACATAAATTAGGGCCCACTATGACTCACTTCCTGGGCATAAACTATCAGGTGTGGTCTGAGGGGCCCACCATGAATAAAAAGACTTTCCCCTCTCAGTATATTCCAAGAGGTTAGAGGTAACCTCCCAAGAACCAGGAACAAGGACCCACCAAATTCCTTATTGCACAGGAATAAATGTTAGGTTTAGTTTATATAATATGGTAAGACAAGTAAATTTGCACTGCTTTCCTGGATGTGCTGTTAGGTACTATTTTATTTTATCTCACAAGAACTATTGACTAACGGCGGAGGGGTGTTGTCTTCTCACAACACCAACACTAACTGCTCTCCAGAAGCTTTTGTTTGGGTGAGATGGAGGATCATTGCTGCTGGATAGAGACAAAGAACAGCCAAACACATAAGCAAATTTCTTATTTTAAAAAAAAAGGAGAAAACTTTTAAATTGGAATGAAATAACAGAATAATGAATCTGGGGGATGGGTAGAGAGTTAGTCAAAAAGTTATCTTGGAGTAGGTGACATTTGAGCTGAGAACCAAATAGTGAAAAAGGATCTAGTACCTTGAGGATTTGGAAGAAGTCATTCCAGGAATAGGGGTAGCTAATGCAATGGCCCTGAGCACAGGTTCATTTGACAAGTTCAAGGAAATATGGAAGAGCAGCGCTAATATGAAAGGGATAAGGCATTAAATTAGAGGGGTAGCAGGAACACAGGAAGGACTTTAGACTTTAAGTGCAATGAGAAGCACTTCTAATATTTTAAGTGTTTAATAGTTTTGTCTCATTAATGTTTTGCAGAGATAATGAGAATGGATCACAGGGGGCACAGGATGCAGGAAGAACAGGTCCAGAATGGAGGCTCTGGGTGTAGGCCAGTTGGAAGACTGGGGGAACAGATTGGTAATGCATTTTGGGAGTAGCACTGAGGGGACTTGGTGAAGAATTGGAAGTGGAGAGTGAGGAGAGGAGGGGAGTCAGGTTATTCTCAAGTCAGCCTGGAGTCAAGTGCCTGATGTTTACAGAAAGAGTTTTAAAACACTTGAATCATTTGTTTTATATTTCATTTTGAACATGTACAAAAGAAGAAAAAACAGAACGAGCCTTCATGTCTCTGTTACCCAGCTCAAAAACTTAAAAACTCAAAGTCTGTCTTGTTCCATCTTTACCTCCTTCCTTCCCTGCTCCACTGGATCATCTTGAAGCAAACCCCAAATGCCATTATTTCTTTAACATTTATTTCTAAAAGACAAAGTATCTTTTAAATGTAACCTGAACACTTAAAAAAATAGTCAATGTTCAGATTTATCTAATTACCTCAGAAATTATTGTTTCTTGGTTCATATCGGGATCCAAACAAGAGCCAGATGTTGCAACTAAAATATCTCCATCTCTGGCCCATGTTTTTGCCTTTGTGTTTCTTGCCTCTGTCCAACTGTTTCAAGAATTCTTTGCATCCTGTTTTGCTGATTTTATTTTCCCCCGTGGTGGTGTTGAGCATGTTCCTCTGTCCTGTGCATTTGCCTTAGATAGTAATGTGATTCTAATCTAGAAGCTTGATGGATTTTGTGCAAAAATACTTGATACATGGAGTTGGATGCTTCTGTCATAAAGATCATAATGTCCAGTTATCTCTTTTTTTTTCTGTGATCATGATAACTTTTAAATCTAAACTGCTATTTAGATTTGTGATTTCATAGAGATTTAATTTCATTCATTTAGTTATACTTTAATTCTCTCCTACTTCATTTATTAGCTAGCTTATAATCAGGAAGAGTCAGTTTTATTAACTCTGATTTCCCTATAGAACAAGATTTTAAATGAAGCTGTTTGTATACATGTAAATACAGTGTTCCCTGGGGGACTGGTTCCAGGGCCCTTCTGGAATACTAAAATACCCAGATACTCATGTTCCTTATGGAAAATGGTGTAGTATTTGCACACAACCCATGTATATCCTCCCATATACTTTAAATCGTTTCTAGATTACTAATGATACTTAATGCATTGTAAATGCTATGGAAATAGTTATTATACTAGATTCTTTAGGAATAATGACAAGAAAAAAAAAAGCCTATACATGTTCAATATGGACACATTTCTTTTTCTCCCAGTATTTTCAGGCAGTGGCTGGTTGAATCTGTGAATGTGGAACTCACTGATGTGGAGGGATGACTGTATTTGAGGTCATCCATGTGCAGTTTTCCTATTATTGATTTCCTTTTGTATTAAACCTTTATCATCTGATGGGAGGCTGGAAGTTTGAAGGGTTCTTAATCATTTTTTGGTAATGTTTAACCAATTTCCTCACTGTTTTAATTATATCTTGTGAAGGGAAGTCCATTTAACTCTTCCCCATCCCAAGTCCACATGTTCCTTTGCTTTATTGCTTCACTAGTAACTCCTTGAGCATCTAGGCTGCTAACCTTCATCTGTGGTTCCCAGAGATTACCAAAAGGGAAAGTAAACCAAACAATCCGGAAAGAGCAACCTATAAGAAACAGGCTTTGCAGAGGGAAAAAAGAAAAGTTTCTCCCTCAAAACTCCAATCAGAAAATGGGAGTCAATTCTGCTCTTGTTCACCAGACAAGAGCAGGATTCTATAAAAGGGATCATTGCAAGAGTAAAATGTAGCTTGTGAAAATTAAAAATGTGATAGAAAAACTCCAGTAGGTTTTTGTGATAAACCACCTCCTGGGTTTAAATACACTGAGGAAGTCATACAACAGGGAAGGGTCTGGGGCTGAATTGTTGATAAGTTCACTGAGCACCAAGCATTGAGCCATTAAGACAATTATTAATTCCAAGGAAAACAAAACATGGGCAGGAAAGCAAAAGTAATCATAGCAGATGACTTGATTCAGTTGTGAATCATGTGTACAGAGTCATAGCAATGTAAAGCATGAGTATCGATCTAACCAAAACTTATAATGTAACTATGTCAAGAGGATGGAAACAGAGATATGAATGTGTAGATGAGGTGGGGTTGAAAGAGAGCTTACTCCTTATCTTCCAGAGTAGAAAGTCAATAGGTGATACATAAAACTGATGAATCAGTAACCAGCTCTTCTTACATATTATTTTGAGATATGAAAGTAATAAAGAATCAGTTTTAAAAGTTTAAAGTGGCTGTTTCTGTGCAGCAAGAGATAATTTGGGGACTGTTCCTTTTTATAGTCAGCCTTCTAGACTATTTGATTCTTCAAAGCTGATTTTTTTAAATGGATGATAGAAGTTGGGATGTTTTTGGCAGAAAAACATTGATCAGAGAATATCTCATTTTAAGGGACCCTCATTATCCCCAGCTTCTCAGAACTAGGAGACAGGTTTCCATTTAAGATTTGGAAAACCTTTCAAACCTTGCCTTCAGTGTAACAGGACATGCCTTAGGAAGTAATGAACTCTTTGTCACTGTAAATATCCAAGCTGAGACCACCTGACCAGCTATCTAAATATGACAGGATATTTTTTACCATTGGAAGGTTGGACTGGGAAACCTCTAAGATTCTTTCCAATTTTAAATATGACCAGGATGGAATGGTTTATCAGAACCATTATTCATCTTGTTTCCCATTACTGTACTGTACATTTAAAGCTGGGTACTTTATAAAGAAAAGAGGTTTATTTAGCTTACAGTTTGGGAGGCTACAAGTCCAAAGAGCATAATGCCAACTCTTGTGAGGGCCCCCCCTGGCTGGGTCACATCAGGGCTGGAGCACATTTTTAAGGGAGGGGTCACAAGGCAAGATAGGAGGGCAGATGGAGGGGAGGAGCAAGTCTTGTCTCTTTATAATGACCTCTCGTGAGATCTAACTCAAGGATCTCACAAGAACTATCTTAATTCCTTTGGAGGGCGAAGTCTCCAGTGACTGTCCACTTGGATCCACCTCTTATATCTCCACACTGAGCATCAAGCTTCCAGTACCTGAGCTCTTTGATGACACATTTAACCCATATCTAAACCGTGGCAAGAACATGCTACAGAAAGCGTAACAGAAAACTTGCGAGACACCTCAAACTCCTGGCCAGGCTTTTCTCTCCCAGGCACTGTCCTGAGCCTGCCAGCCAGGAGCCAGACAACAAAGCCTCAGACACAGGAAAATGAACACACTTTGTTCCTCCCGTACCCTCATCCCATGTTGTTCCCAACCCTTCATTTTTCCCCGTGGATGAGCCCTCCTGCCAGGCCTGTGGCCTGTGACGCTGGTCCAGACCAGGGATGTCCCTCTCTGAAGCCTCCCAGGTCTCCAGGTGGTTCTCAGAGCTAAGTCCCCAGTAGGCAAAGCCCAGGGAGTTCAACCCAGCTTCACACTGAACCCTGAGTCTCCTCCATGCCTCAGAGCTAAGCAAGTCTCCAGATTCCACCCACCAAGACAGACAAGCGGGATTCAGCTGAGGAAAAGGCAGCAGCAGCATTTGCCTGAACAACCACTCATTGTTTTCTCCTTGTCCCCGAACCCTCCCTCTCTGCTGTACTTGGCCTCCCTCTCTGGAATAATTCTGGCTCTGCTGCTTGCTCAGCCCCCACTCTTCTAATCTCTCCTACCTCCCCTTTTCCATTTTACCCCAAGTTACATCATTAATTAACTTTTAAAACTTAGAAAACACAGAAGTGGTAGATATAAGAAATATAGGGCGGTGGATTTCTCGTTCACATATTGTTCTCACAATGAGTTTTTTTTTTTTTTTTTTTTTAAGAAAACTTTGGCCAGAGACCAAACTATGTATTCTTTTTTTCCCCTTATACACATATACCTATGATAAAGTTTGATTTATAAATAAACACATTAAAGATAGCTAACAAAATTGAACAATCATATGCTGTAATAAGCATTATTTGAATGGGGTCTCTTTCTGTAGTATCTTAATGTACCCTACCCAACCTTCTTTTTCTTGACCACAGGTAACAGAAACCACTGAAAGTGAGACTCGGATGGGCGGGGGGACACTGTATTAAATTTAGTGTTACCTAAGGTTTCAGACATCCGCTGGGGATCTTTGTATCCTCTACAGATGGGGGGTGGGCAACAGTATTATTATCAGTCATTTTCTTATTATTTGTGACCTACATTATATTTCCTTCAAAGGAAAGTTTGCCAAGGCAGATAAGTGAGAAAATTGTTTATTTTGTTTCAGGCATATTAAAAATACTATTCTAAAGAATGTGTAAACTAGGACTAGTCCTTACAGAGAGTGATGTTGATGCTCCGTTTGCTCCATAGTCAGCATTTTGCTTTCCCCCACTCTCCTTTAAATTTACTTTGCTTCCACAGGCAAACCGGTGATAATGATCAGTGCTTCCATAATGTGTAATGCACTTTGGTTTCATAGCAGAACTTGGGATCTGCTCCGAAGACGGACATGTTTTAAGGGTGAATTGAGTCAGAGACTTATGCTTAAAGCCTCCTTTGTTTAAAATCAGAAAATAATATTAGGATGAAGCTGCAGAGTGATTATTTGTGTCTTCTAAAACTAATTTCTGTCTGTCTTCAGGAAATACTATGGAGAGAAGATTGGAATCTACTTTGCTTGGCTGGGCTATTACACTCAGATGCTCCTGCTGGCTGCAGTGGTGGGGGTGGCCTGCTTTCTCTATGGATATCTTAATCAAGATAACTGTACATGGAGGTAACCTCTGTTTACTCCTTGTTGTCACACTGAAAAGTTGATTAAGAATAAAAGAATTATTTGCAGGATTTTAGGCTATTTTGGTAAAAGAAGACTCCGTGCAGAACACTCATTTCTTTGGATGATATATCCCCTTTGTTTTAATAACTAAGTGAAATGGAAAAAAATTTTTCTCAGATAATCCAACCCAGCCTCTGACAGGAATATTACCCTTCAGAAACACTCCAATATTTTAAGACAATACTTTGTTTGAAAAAGAAAGGAGGACTGGAGGGAGAATTGCCCTTGAACTTCTAGCCCCAGAGGAATGCTTCACTCAGCTTTGCAGATATGGGCCAAGAGCAGCTCCTATTTCTTCAGGGTTTCCATGGGAAAACTGATAGAGCTGGTGTTTTCCTGCTTTTCAAAATGGGTTTCTAATCTGTATTAAGAATTCATGTTTAATAACTCAAGTAAACAGTCACTGGATTTTTAGTTTTTTTTTTTTTTTTTTTTTTTTTTTTACTTTTACAAAATTATTCCTGACTCTGTTTGGGAAAACAAGTGAGAGAATTCATTTATGCTTGATTTCGGAATTCAAACACCAGCTGCACTTTCTAAAGGCAAGTCCCTGGGTGCCAGAGCACTCTGAATTTCACTCACTGTCCTGAATTGTTGCCATTCCTCCATTTTCGGGGTCTCAACCACCAGAAAGGGATGCAGCACTGAACCAGACATTTTCTGTTTATCATCTGGCCTCTGTCCATGTCTAACAGCCAGATCAAAATTTCTGGGCACCATTAATGAGTTGATGACCAAATTTTTCAAGCCCCAAGCATATCAGCCTGGCTCCTAAGGCAGGATGCTTACATGGCTGCCCCATGCATGGGTGTAATTGCCCATTCCATTTATGGGGGATTCTGAGCCTTTTGTGCCCATTGTGGCTTCTTAGCTAGGAAGCTGCAGATGGTATGTCAAGTACTCTCCTCTCTTCACTGAAAAAGAGTTTGGGCCAAAGGCTGAATGTTGATCCTTTCCCCCTGAATTTGTGCTTGGCTTCTCCATTGTTTCATGTACTGTTCCAGCCCAAAACAATAACAACAACAACAAAAAAAAGGCATCTCAAAAATACATTTGCAGACTATGAAAGTTGCATTTTGATAAGGTTCTCATGTGGTTGCTCTTATTGTAACTCATTTTATGAAATCACCATGGTAGTCACATCACATATTTCCTGCCATTTCACACAGATTGTTTTATGGAAAATAGAAGGAGGATCTTGGGGATATAGTCCTGTGCTCAAAAAGATTTGGCTTTAATTATGTATTAAATATCTTTAAAATGTTTTGAATGTATAAATTTGAAATATTTTCAGTTCTATCACATACTTGTAAGATTCACAAGAATAGAAAATACATTTAAGGTATGAAGAATAATGATACATCATCCAGTTTAAGAAAAAGAACAGAAGTATTGTCTTCAAATAACAGTGCTTTCCTCAATTCCTTACCTGACCCTGTCTTCTTTGGAAATAACTACTCTATTAAATTTTGTATTTGTCATTCCTGTACACTTACTGATATTTTAAAATCACATTTGTAGCTTAGACCCGTAAAGTTGATTTAATTTTGTGGTTTTGAAAACACATAGACACATAAGTGGGGGATATTGTAGGTATTTCCTCTTCTTTAAAGTGTTTCAAGTTGATATATCCCTTTTTAAAATAACAGGGGTTTTTTTAGTCCTAGATGGACATAATATTTTTTATTCTCTTCATTTATTTATATATATGTGGTGCTGAGGATCGAACCCAGCGCCCCACAAATGTTAGGCAAGCGCTCTACCGCTGAGCTACAACTCCAGCCTCTAAAATAATAGTTTTATCAAGATATAATTTATATACTACAAAAGTCACTCATTTAGAGTGTTCAGCTCAGGTGTTTTGAGTACACTCACAGTCTTATGCAGCCACCACCCATCTAATTTTTAGAACCTTTCATCTCTCCTAAAATAAACAAGTGCCCATTAGCAGTTCATTTCCTAATACCCTTTTCCCTTAGCCCCTGGTAACCACTAACCTGTTTTCTGTTCTCTGGACATTTCATAGGAGTGGAGCTGTACAGCCTGTGGCTTTTCATAACCATCTTCTTTCCCTGAGCACATTGCTTTCATCCATGTTCTAGCATTGATCAGTCCTTCATTCCCTTTTGTGGTCAGGCGATATTCCATTGTATGGATTTGCCACATTATCCTTTCATCTGCTGATGGACATTGGGGATATTAATCCTTTTTTGGCTGTTGTGAATAATTCTGTTATAAATATACTACTATGAACATTTATTGACAAGCTTTTTTATGACATCCAATTTACCTACTTTTTTCTTTTGCTTTTTTTTTAAATTTCTTAAGTTGTAAATAGATACTAATCTTTATTGGTTTATTTTTATGTGGTGCTGAGGATCAAACCCAGTGCCTCAAGTGTGTGAGGCAGGTATTCTACCACTGAGCTACAACCCCAGCCCACTTACTTTTTTCTTTTATTATTTGTGCTTTTTTCCAAGAAGTCAGTAATTCACATTCATGATTTTCTTAGTGTTTATCTTCTAAGAGTTTTATGGTTTCAGGTTTGTGATTGATTCATTTTGAGTTAATTTTTCATGCACACATTCCAGATGCCCCAGACCATCCTACAGAGGACTGCTTATTTTCCCATTGAGTTATCTTGGCACCCTTGTTGAAAATCGGCTATTACCAATTCTTTCCCATTGATCAACACATACTAGGTTTGATTATTGTAGTAAATATTTAAATTAAAAACTTCAAAAAAAAAATTGGGGGATATTTTTGTTTTTGTTTTGTTGGGGGACTGGGAATTGAACCCAGGATTGCTCTACCACTCACCTACAACCCCAGTCCTTTATTTTTAAAAATGAAGACAGGGTCTCACTAAGTTGCTGAAGCAGGCCTCAAATTTGCGGTCTTCCTGCCTCAGCCTCCCCAGTCGCTGGGATTTTAGGCATTGACCACCATGCTTGGCTCTGCCCCTTTCAGTGACCACCATGCCTGGCTCTGCCCCTTTTAGTGACCACCATGCCTGGCTCTGCCCCTTTTAGTGTCTGAGGTTGTGTTCATTTTTTTTCATTCCTTTTTCTTTCCATTCCTCAAATTGGGTAATCTTAATAGACCAGCATTAGCACCACCAATTCTTTGTTTTGGGGTTTGGGGCTTTTTTTTTTTTTTTGTACCGGGGGCACTCATCACTGAGCCACATCCCCAGCCCTATTTTGTATTTTGAGACAGGATCTCTCTGAATTGCTTAGTGCCTCAATATTGCTGAGGCTGGCTTTGAACTTTCCCTCCTCCTGCCTCAGCTTTCCAAGCTGCTGGGATACAGGCGCCAAAGCGACTGGCTTCCACTGATTCTTTCTTCTGCCATTTCATGTCTGCAGCAGAGCCCCTCTAGATAATTTTTTATTGAAGTTATTGTACTTTGCTTTCCTTAAATATCTAATTTTTTAAATAATGCCTATCTCTTTATTGATATTCTCATATGGTTCACCCATTTTAATTCTTTGGATATGATTTTCTTTAGTTCTTGAAATACATGTAATTGCTTATGTAAAGTCTTTGTCTAATAAGTGCAGTGTATGGGGGTCCTCAGGACAGTTTCTCTTGATTGCTGATTTCCCCTCTGCATTAGAACCATACTTTTCAGTTTCTTGGTGTATGTTGTGATTTTTTATGTTGAGAACTTGGCATTTTAAATATTATAACGTAGGTGATAGTGAAATCAGGACCCAGCCCCTCCCCACTTTCAGGGTTTGTTGTTACTTTTTGTTGTTGTTGATGCTGGTGTTCTTTGTCCAGCTTCTGTCCTGAGCTAATTCCATAAGGTCTGTATTCTTTGTCAGGTGTGACCTCTGAAGTCTGTGTTCAGTAACTTTAGCTGTCAGCTAAGATTGAATTAACTAGTGATTTCACTAAATGCTAGAACCAGTCATTTCCTTCCCCCTGCCCCTGTGTGTAATGTGTTTCACACTCAAACACTCAGGCAGACACTTTTCAGCTCTCCCTTAGCCTTTTGTGTTTTCTCATGCAGAGCCTCAGGTTAGCCAGAGGTGAGAGATTCAGGTTACCTTAGGCGTTTCCTGGCCTTGGGTCCTACACGTGCACCTGGCCTTCAACAATTCCAGGAGTATGTTAAAGCTTTATAAAACCCTCTATGGTTACCTCAGTCCCTAATTCTTCCTGTTTGGTTTTGGAGTTAACTTCTTGTTAGCCTCTACTGGTATCACTGCCTCAGGCAGCTGCAAAGTTAAACCATTCCTTCTGATTGCTTTGAATGGACACCTGGGGGACTGGGCTGTTTGCACAGTCTGAGCCCTGAATACAAGGTCAAAATGACAAATACTGTGCCTGGAGCATTTCCAGGGAGCTTCTAGATAGGTCCAATACTGACAATTTTCTGGGGTTTTGGGGTAGCTCCAAACTACTTTGGCTTTCTGGTTTTTAAGGTTACCATGAAACTTGGAAGACAGGGATGGGAATTGGTCCAGTTAAAATGCCACAAAGCTCACTTTTCATAGAGATTTAGCCAATTTCCTTCAAATTAATGCTCTTCAGATCACTGTAAGCATTTGGTTAGTAACCAGAGTTCTGTAAAGGTTCATTTTGACAATTTTTGCCAGTACTTTAGCTGCTTTTATGGAGGAGTTAGTTTTTCAAGATCTTAACTATTTCAGAAGTGCTTCCCAGGCCCATTTGTTTTTATTGAGTTATTTTGCAAGGTCACCTAATTGCACAACTCCAGTCCTATTGACATAAGAATCCATCTGAATGGCTTCTGCTAGAGGGAGTGGGTGTTCAACATCTATTTGCTTTTTCCTTACTAATTTGTAGGAGTTCTTAAAATATTCTGGTGAGTAATCTTTTGTCATGTTTACCTGTTGCAAAGCTTTTACCACTATGTGGCTAGTTCTCTCTTTCAAGTTGTCTTTTAATGACATTCTTACTTTTAAAAGAATATTGAATATATCAATATTTTCCTTGATGATTTATGCTTTGGGATTTTATATTTAGGAAATTTCATCTTACCTTAAGATTATCTAAATATTCTGTTGCTTTTTTTCCCCCAATGCATTAGTACTATTGATGTTCTCAGTTCCCACCTGGAATTGATTTGTATGTATTATCATTACTGGTTTAATTTTATGATTTCCCACATAGATATTCTGTAGTACCAGCCATATTTATTGAAAGGTCAGTTCTCAACTTACTAAATTGCAGGGCCAACTCTATCCTATGTCAGTTTTTTATGTGATGGAGATCTGTGTCTAAAAATTTTCTTGTGTTCCATCAGTTGTTTTTCTTAATCTAGACCAATATTGCCTTCTTCTTCAGTAGTGTTTTGACTAAGCTTTTGCTTTTCCATGGAGCCTACAGCTGAAATGGAAGAGATCTCACATCTTTAAGTATTGATTCTTCTAAATTATGATATTATAGAATAGGTCCTCTTCACTGTCTTATAGATTTAGAATTTCCATCATCTAGATCTTAAATCAGGTTCGGTTAGAACTGTTCTAGACACTTCATGTCAGATCAGGCGAGTCAGGCAGTGACCAAAGGAGGCAGATTTAAAAGGGCCGCTGAACAGGCTTTATTGAGATATCACTCCCTGGCGGAACTCGGATCAGACCCACAGAGGGGAAGGGGTAGGGTCTGAGGACAAACCGCGTGGAAGCTCTACCGGACTGGATTTTATGGGGCTTACAGCAGGAAGGGAAGGGCTTGGGACAGGAAAAGGTATTTCTAGGGTCCCTTGCCCCCTTGGAGTTGGCTGAACTCCAGGATTGGCCAGCGGGTCCTGCCGATTGACAGGCGTTAGTCAGGAGATCTGGCTGATTGACAGGCATTTCAGCTGGCACCTGATTCATGTTCTTTTCCAGCTCGGGCTGCTTTGTTCTAAGTCGCCACCACCGACCTAACACTTCATACTTTTTAAGCTGATGAAAATGGCATTTAAAAATTATTTCATAATTGTTGCAGGTACATAGAAACACAATTCCTTTCTGTGTCACTGTGTATATTTTGTATATTGATTCTTTGTCTAGCAAACTTTAAACTTCTTAATTCTAATATTTTACATGTAAATTCTATTGAAAGATACATGATAGTCTATATGAACCAATCAGTAGAGTCAGGTTTTTTTTCTTTCAGACCAATACTCCTGGCTTTGTTTTCCTTGACTTTCTGTGCTGGCAGAGACCTCCAGCTAGAAAGAAGTGATTATGATAGTCCTTTGTCTTATTCCTGAGCTAAAGGAAACACTTTTAAGCATTTACCGTTAAATATTTTTATAGGTTTTATGGAGCAAGCCTTTATCAATCTGATGAAGTTCACTTCTATTCTTATAAGAGTTTTATTTCTTATCATGAATGGATATTGGATTTTATCATGCTGGCAGAAAGCAAGTCCTTTTCATTAAGCCTTTTAAATAAGTTTTATTTCTCTTTCTTTAGCAAAGAAGTTTGTGATCCTGATATTGGTGGCAAGATTGTAATGTGTCCTCAGTGTGACAAGATTTGTCCATTCTGGAAACTGAATATTACTTGCGAGTCCTCAAAGGTAATTTTTGTTATTTCAAATATTTAAACATAACAAAGCAACTTTTTTTCCTTCTACTTGGTCATTTTTTATTATGTACAAATTATATCATTTTTTCCTTCTGAAGAATCCAAAAGGCGTTTTTCAACTAAGCTTCCAAAAATTCTGAAGGTAGTATTGCAATGCATGTGTTTATTCCTCTTTTATTCCTCTTGCTCACTTTGTACAAATGATAAATTGAGATCAAAAAGCTTATCTAAAATCTCATGGAGAGTCAGTGACAAAATGGTGGAATTGAACCTATTTGGGTATTTCAAGTAATCAAAGCAAAGATCTCAAGCCTAGCTTATTTCATGAATACTTCGTAATAGGTTTACTATTAAAAGTGTTTTCCTTAATTGAAGCAAGAGGAAACCTGTTATTTGTTCTTACGAAACCTGAAATTTGTATGAGTGAAAGTTGTGTTTTTCCCCATTAAAGTATTCTGAAACTGTGCTTAGTCTAAATATGACCAGCAGGGTCTTTAAAAATCCATCTGTATTCATAAATGTTCATAGGAAAGTTATGTCAGATTCTTTCCCTGTCTTTCCCATTCCTACCCCCTTCCCTTTCCTTCATTCCTCTTTGCTTAATCCCACTATCCTGTACATCCACAAGACTAGGGCCCTAAAAAGAACAAATAAAAACTAAATTTTAAAAATCTATAAATAGGGGCTAGAGATGTGGCTCAAGCCGTAACT